AGTTTTAGCACCCGTTGATGATCTTTGCCTGAATCATTTATCTCTGATTGTCAAATGAATGTGTAATTCCTCCTCCTTACATTAAGGAAGAGCTTCCTCGGGATCCCTGGGTGGCGCAGCGGTTTGGCGCCTGCCTTTGGCCTAAGGCACGATCCTGGAGACCCAGGATCGAATCCCACATCGGGCTCCTGGTGCATGGAGCTTCCTGCTTCTCCCTCTGCCTATGTCTCTGCCTCTCTCTCTCTCTCTCTCTCTCTCTCTCTCAAATTTAAAAAAAATAAAAATAAAATAAAGGAAGAGCTTCCTCTTCTTTCCCATTAATTATTTAATATCTAGGGACTCTTCTTAAATGGATTAAAATTCATTATTTTATTAAGTGGGTTATATAATCTGATGCTCAACTGTCTTAGATTTGTTTAGGGAGCCCCCTTAATCAGTTTTAACTCAAGTTGTGATTTAGGCCAAATGCTCTTCTTCTCTTTGGTCTTAATTCTTCCATTTATAGGATAAGGTTAAGTACCTTGGGTTATAGGAGTGACTGGATGAAATACACCCACATTCCCAAATTTCCTCAGCCATGATGGGATTATGTCAGGCCTGGCTCAACCCTAGAGGCCCAGTATTTTACATTGTTTTTTGCCTGCCTTTTCTAGGCATCCAGGGCATTGTAGATGCTTACCGCCAAGCCCTGCCCCAAGTTCGCCTCTTTGGCCCCACCAACTTCGCACCCATTATCAACCACGTGGCCAGGTTGGCAACCCAGGCTGCACATCAGAGGACGGCCTCGGTGAGGATCATAGGAGGTGGTGGTCTTGGTCAAGGGCTCCCTTCAGGAATATATAACAAGAGGCTTCTTGTCAGTATGGGAACGTGTGGCTAGGGTGTTTAGAGGTCTGCCTTAGTTTATGAATGGACTTATCCTCAGCAATACTTCGTGCTGTTGCTGCTGACTGATGGTGCTGTGACAGATGTGGAGGCTACACGTGAGGCTGTGGTGCGTGCCTCCCACCTGCCCATGTCAGTGATCATCGTGGGTGTGGGTGGTGCTGACTTCGAGGCCATGGAGCAACTAGATGCTGACGGTGGACCCCTGCGGACACGCTCTGGGGAGGCAGCTGCCCGTGACATAGTGCAGTTTGTGCCCTACCGCCGCTTCCAAAATGTGAGTGGGGGTAAGCTTGGGAACAGATCAGATATGGGAGTTTATCCCTCCACCTCTTTCTGAGTGAGGATACTCTCAACCATTCATCTAAGCCAGGGCAGCAGGGTTGGGTGTTGGTATTTGTATCCTTTCTTGGGTATGAAATACAGACTTTGGGAAGCTGTTATGGGTCGCCGCTGACCTTGCCCTTCTTCTCCTGGCAGGCCCCTCGGGAGACACTGGCACAGACTGTGCTTGCAGAAGTACCCACACAGCTGGTCTCCTACTTCAAGGCCCAAGGTTGGGCCCCATTCAAGCCACTTCCACCCCCAGCAAAGAGCCCTGCACAGGCCCCTCAGGTCTAGGTTCCATTAGAGGATAGGCTATGGCTAGTCCTCAGCCTTGTGTCCCCAAGTTTCCCGTAAGCGTGAGCCCCGTAAGCACACATTCATTCCCCAGTGCTGCACTTTACATTTTATACTTTTATATTTGCTCCTGCTGTTGTTGCTCTTGATTCCCTCCTGCTTGCCCTGGAGTCCTTCATTTAATAAAGATCAATGAAGACCATTGCTTTGCCACCACTCTCTGCTTTTGAGTAGGAATTTGCAATTTGCCATGTTTATTTTTTCTGAGCCTCGGTTTATCCCCCCTTAGAGGTTGTAGAGTGAAGGATACCTCTGACATCATAGCCCCAGTCAAATAGGATATTCCTGGCCAGAAGTCTAGAGATACTTTTATTTTTTTAAATAAAAAGATTGAATGTGAGCCAAATACTCAGCCTGCCCTGCCATAGGGCAGAGCTGAGCTGGAAATACAGACAAGGTGGAACATGCTGGGGAGGGATGAGTTTTAAGGGCTATGCTAGACTTCCTGGAGGAGGGAGCAGTGATGGTTCTAATCGTAAAGATAGGCTACAAGCCTGAATCCTTTTAGCAGCTAATTTTTTTCTTACTAGGAAATTAATATGTATATTCATTATAAAATAAAAAATACAAAAGAAATATCATCATCCAAACTCCTATGTGCTAGGGACACCTGGGTGGCTCAGCGGTTGAGCATCTATTTGCCTTTGACTTAGGATGTGATCCCAGGGTTCCGGGATCAAGTCCTCCATCGGGCTTCCTGCATGGAACCTGATTCTCCCTCTGCCTATGTCTCTGCCTCTCTCTCTGTGTCTCTCATGAATAAATAAAATCTTTAAAAAAAAAACAAAACAAAAAAAATGTACCAAAAAAAATATTTGGTGCATAGTTTTTAGTCCATCATGCAAATTTATAATCTTTACATATTTTTTATTTTATAAAAATGGGATCATATTGTATCTACTGTTTTAACACACTTTAAAATATATGCTAGTTAGTATAAAATTATTTCAAATATAAATATTGTATAAAATAGATAACAGAGCAGGTGAGGGTTCTTGTCTTTCCTAGGTCTGACTTTTTTTCTAAGTAGGATATTATATATACTCATTATACCTTCTTTTTATTATATTTTGGGTGTCTTACCCATTAGAACTTATTGGTGACCTTATTCTTTTTAATGCATATATAGTTTGTGTATGAATGTTCTATAGCTTATTAGCCAGTCTCTTACTGAGATTTGAGTCCCTTTCAATTTTCAGTTTTGTTCTATCACAAAGTGCTGTAATAAATATCCTTGTACATTTATCTGTGCATTTACCACAATATTTTTAAAGGATTTGTTTCTAGAAGTAGAAATGCTAGACCAAAGGATATAAATATTTAGCATTTTAATAGATACTGTAAATTGCCCTCCATAACAAGTTTTTTTAATCCTTTTTCTATTAATTTGACAGGCAAAAACTTTTCACTTTTAGCTTGAATATATTTAATTTTGAAGGCTAGGTATCATAGTCTATGTGCTTATTTGTGAGAAATATTTCTTCTGAATAGCCTCTTTATAGGTTTTTGTTGGTGTTTTAACCTTTGTTCTTATACATGTTAAAAATATTTCTCCAGAATTGGTGCCTTTTCATTTATAGTATCTTACCAATCTAGCTTGCTTTTTAAGAAATTAGCCATATGTCATTTATTACTTCCCATGACATTAAACATTCCCTTAAATAGTACCATTTCTTTTGGTCACATTATTTTTGTGTCATAATTTATCTTTTTTTTTTCAAAATTTATCTTTTTAGATACTATTTCTGCTTTTCTCTTTATAAGCAACAGTGTAATGAATATCCTTAAAAGTATTATCTTTGATTACATTGATGTATCCTTTGAGTTAATTCTTAGAAATTGAATTACTGTGATTAAAGAATATAAAAAGTCTTAAGTCTTTTGGTTCCTATTGTGAAATTGCCCTCCAGAAAAGCTATATTAGTTCATATTTTTGACCTTAGGCTTTGAGAGCACTCAGTAATTTAAATCATAAAAGTAATATCCTGAAAATTTAAATAAATGGATATGTATTTCACCCTCACACATACTCCTGCATTTCACTTCTAGAGGTGTAACCACTGTTCATAATCATTATACATACATGTATGTATGTATATTCTTCCAATGCAAGAACACACTGGGAAGGATTCCTAATAGCCAAGGTGGCACATGTTCCTTTGCTCAGGCTGGTCCCCATTTTCTATTCTCTGCTTGGGTAGAACTTCTTAATCTTTTGATATACCTGTCTCTATCTTTTATTCTTTCAGTTCTACTTTGACTCTTACGAGTAAAGAATTCTTATTAGATCAGTAAAGGAACTCTTCCCTGGAGCACCCTCCCTCCCCTATCAGGCTCCCTGAGGGCAGGGACTAATGAACACCAGACCACCTATGCTGGGCCTAGAAGTAAAGACAGCCTGAGATGGGGTTACCAGACCTGCATCAGCTTGGACTCTGATGCTCCCTAGAGGTTCTCAAGTCTCCTCAGTTTTTGAGTATTTCCCTAAAGAAAAAGGGTAGTTAACCTCTCCACTTTGACCTAGCAGAAGTTGTAGAGACTGTCCCAGAGGTTGGGGGTAGGAATTGAACTGCACAAATACAGCTTCAGGCTGACTGGCAGCTCTGAGTTAAAGAGGGTGGCCTTGGGCAGCCTGAATGGCTCAGCGGTTTAGCACTGCCTTCAGCCCAGGGCCTGATCCTGGAGACCCAGGATTGAGTCCCACGTCCGGCTCCCCTGCGTGGGGCCTGCTTCTCCCTCTGCCTGTGTCTCTGCCTGTCTCTCTCTCTCTCTCTCTCTGTCGTGAATAAATAAATCTTTGAGAAGAAAAAAAAAAAAAGAGGGTGGCCTCTACAGGAAGATAGGTTTGGGTTCCTCTGTGGCACTGTTCTTCATTAGCTCTGTGACCTTGAGCGTTTCCTGACCTGAGTGGTTTCCCCCTCTGTGATTATAAGGATCAGATAATGTGTAGAATGTCCAGAGCACCATTTTTTGTACATGGTAAACACTCCATTAACATGACCTGCTATCATATTGATCTGAACTTCTCAAAATTAAGAGGGTGCACTGGAAAGTAGACCCCCACACACACCATACTTATATGCCAAAGGCACACAGAGGCCTCCCCCCGCCCCCAGCATGGATCCAGCTTCTTTCAGCACAGACCTGCACTCTACTCCAACAATCAGCATGTTTAATGGGGTTCCCCTGTGGCATTGTCCCCTGCCCCCTCCGAAGTTCGCATGCCATGGGCTCGGACCCGATACAAGCATGTGAAACGGGGGTGGCCCCAGTTGCTTAGAATCTGGATCTTCACCTTGGGAAAGGCAGCTGGGGGATCATTCTAGGGAGACAAATGGATCATGCCAAGGCCTGCTGTCCCAAGGGCTGCCTTTCTCCCCAGTCTTCCTTTGCTGTCCCATTCTTTTAGCACCCTCACCCCCAGAGACACACACCTGTAGATGGAAAGTCTGAATCTCCGATTTCTCCACATTGAAGGTGAATTTCCCCAAGAAAACTTCAGTCTCGTCATCAACCTGGAGGCCCTGGTGGGTGAAGAGTTGAGTGGAGGAACAGTGAGGCACAGGTGGAAGAGGGAGAAAGCAACTTTATTGAGGACCTACTATGGTGTGGAGTCATTATATGCACACTCATTTATTTTTTGGTGTTAGGATAGTGTAGTGTGGAATGTAGGCTCCAAGAAACCAGGTTGCAAAGTTTTCGTCTGGCCAGTTGTTAGCTGTGTGACCTTGACAAATAATGCTTTTCTGAGCATTACTTTCCTCATCAGTGAGGGGGGAAATGATAGCACTTCATAGGTTGTTGACCCATTGCAAGGAGATGATCCATTTAAAGTACTTAGCACAGAATAAGTGCTCAATAAAGCCATACCTACTGTTTGAATATGGTTGTAATTATAACTTGTAGGCCTGAGAAGCAAGTGGTAGTATCTCCACTTCATAGATAAGCAAGCAAAGACTCTGCTCCAATTTTCATGACTGCCTGGTACTTAAATCCCCCACCTCCTTAGCCTCAGCCCCACTCACGTAGACTGCGAAGTCGCGGGGGGCGCTTTTGGCTCCTCCGGTGTGTGCCACACTGGGTGGTGGGTGCTGCAGGGTGATGTCGCTTAGTTGCACACAACTCGGTAGCCGGATCACCACCTGGCCCTGGTCGCCCTCAAAAGCCCAGCAATTCCCCGGGAATACATCTGGCTGCAGGTGAGCAGGTAGATCTTAAGAACCCACAGACAGCCACTATGGCCCTTCCCCAGTGTGGGCATTGGTTCAGGTAAGCCCTGCCCTCAACTCAACCCCTTCATCGGCCCCACCCAATCCAAACCCAGGTTTGTCCCACCAGATTCCGTTGACTGCCCCAGTCCCTAGCACCCCCAGGCCCCGCCTCCAGCCAGGCCCATCCCCTGTCAAGGAGGGCCCCACCTAGTGCCACACCCTCAGTTCCTCCTTTAGGGATCTGTTGGGTCCTTTCCCCAGCATTCCTCCCCTGGTCTGGTTCTGGGATCCAGGTTCCAGGCCCACCTCCAGGATAACGGTTGGCGGCCGTGCATAATTCCAGAAGCTGAAGCGATTCCAGAAATAGGCAGTGTTCGCTTCCTCATAATCGTGTGATGTCTTCTCAAGGTCGATGGAGGCCCCTGGAGCAGGGAGAAGCAATCATTCAGGGGCTCCCAGGCCTGACCAACAGCTGGGGCTGGGTCTCCGAAGTTGGTCTTTTGGGCTGGTCATGTGCATAGGTCTGTGTCAATGTCTCCGTCTCTTCCCATTTCTCTGGGTCTTACCCACAGAGCTCAGCGCATAGTCGGGTTTCCTCACAAAGTCTTCATTCAACCTCTGGAATACAAGCTTGGCCACTCTCTGAAAAGAGGGAGGGTGGGTCCTGGAAGGACGAGCTTGCAGGCAGGTTTATAGGGGGGCAGAATTCTGGGACTAGGTTCTCTAGGTTGGACTTTGTGGGCCCTGGGAGACATTCCGAAGTCGGGGCTCTGGGGCGAGGTTTACCGCTCTGGACCCAAGGAACCAGCCTCCGCCAGGGGCTTCCAAGGCGGACCTTGGACTGAGCAGTGGGCGGGCCCACGGGGCGGCACTTTGAAAAGACAGGAGGCTGCAGGGCTCACCTCGCTGTTGGCTGCACGAACGCTGGACACTTCCTTGTGCAGTTTATCCAACTCGGCCTGGAGCTGTTGCAGTTGCTGCCCCTGGGAGCGTACGCGCTCGTGGTACTCGCTGCAGGCGGGAGGTTGGCACTGTGTGGCTAGCTCCCTGTCCCCCCTGGGCACTTCCCGTAAGGCCCCCCACAGCCCCCTAATTCCCCACCCCAGGTGCCCTCTTTCACCTTAGAGTCAGCATCTCTTTAGGTTCCTGTTGGAGGAAGGGAGGGACCAAATACAACTGCTCAGCTCCCACTCACTTCCTTCTCCCCCATCAGCCTGGGAGCAGCCTGACTTTTGAGGGCCTTCTTTTTGAGGACTGCTGCCCCTTCTCTGACCTGCCAGGACCTCTCAGAGACCCCCAACCACCTCTGGGCACAATCCCTGAGATCTGTTTATATCCCTTCCTTAGGATTAGAGCCTCCAGTGCTGTCCCCCTCCCACCCAGGGGAGCCCCACAACCTCCAGTTCATACAGTCGCCCTGACTCACATTCTCCAAAGGAGGGATCAGGTACAGCAGCCCCCACCAGAGTGCTGGAGAAAGAGGGATGGTGTCAGGGGAAGCCAAGGGAGAGGGTTTCCCTGGCATAAAGGGGCAGTGAGGAGAGAAAAGGCTGGAGGGGGCTGCTATGCCTGAGGGGGGCTAGTGGGCTCTGAAGGGGACTGAGCAGCTGAAGGCATTGAGTGGGCTGAGGGATATAGGAGAAAATGTGCCAGGTTCGGCCCCCCAGCATCCAGGGCTGGGGCCCCAGGGGATTCGCCACCCTCTCACCTGCCAGAAAGAGGCTCAGCAGTGATACAGCCGTGAGCAGGAAGCGGATGGAACAGACCTCCCTGAAGAACGGAGGAAGACTGAGGCGGGGGACCCTAATGAACCCCACAGCCCCACGCCGGGGTCCTAGACCCAACTCCCGCGAACATGACTCAACCAGGTGTGAGTCGGCTGGAGCCTCTGCGGGTCCGGCCCTGCTCCCCGCCCCATTCCCTCCCTCTGACCTGTACACGACGATCAGCACGTCTCCTACCAGGGACAGCAACACGCTCAGCACCTGCAACAGCAGGCCTGGGGAGAAGAGAGGACGTTTAGAGGTGGCAGAGACGAAGAAGAGAGCGTGGGGTTCGAGGTGCAGGAGGGGCTTGGGAAAAGAGTGGGCTAAGAGAATGAGTTGGGGCTCAGGGAAGGGGCTGGAGACTGACATGGGCCCGGCTCAGAACGAAAACGGTCTCTCGGAAATGAGAACTGGAATTCAGAGAGGGGAGCCAGAGGGTCAGAGGGGTTCCGGCTGGCCTGGCCCATACTCAAGAAGCTCTTGGACACGCGCGGTGGAGGCATCTCCTGCCTCAGATCCAGGGTCGAGAGAAGGTCGAGCTGCTCCTCAGAGACTACGGGAGAGCCAGCCGGTTCTGCGGGAGCCCAAGGGCGCCATTGGGGCCTTGCGCAGTGCAGGTCCACTCTTTCCCCGGGACCCGGCCGCAGGTTCCCCAGCCCAGAAGCGGTGCAGCCGCCGCAGGCACTGGTCCCACCGCATCCCCACCCTAGCTCTCTCTCAGCACTCTGAGGCCCACCCCTCAGGGATGCTAGGTCAAGGCGTTAGTCCCCTCGCCAAACGGAGACCCCGCCTTCAGGCAAATGTTGCTGCGGCCATATTTCTCTGGTAGCCACTTATGCTAAGAGCAAGGCCACGCCTCCTCAGGGGCGTCCAATCACAGGATTTCCCCGCCCCTTCCGAGGACCGTCCATCACACCGAGGTCCTGCCCCTTAGGTGCCTCCCCTCTTTGCCCTCCAGGCCCCGCCCCCGGAGGTGCCCAGATTCTGTCCCGATTCCGTGCCAAGCACCGCCCCCTTGGGCCCCGCCCCCTCCCTCGGCTCTCCCGGGTTGGACCCCGCCCGCACCCGAGGCCCCGCCCCTCACGGTTGCCGCGCCACAGGCGGTCGGCCCATTGTGGCTCCGAGGCGCAGGCTTCTGCCGAGAGCTTCCAGCCCATGTGGCTCCTCCGGACACTCCTGCGCTCAAGGCGGGCTCACCGCAGCTCGAGCCCCGGGCTCTTCTGCCCTCGGGCTCCCCGGGCCCCGGTCCAGCTGACCGGGGCCCGCTGCTGTCCCCCGAGGTGACGCTCACTGAGCTGTTGCTGTTGTCGCTGTAGAAGTTGGGCGTGTGCTTGTGAGGGGACGTGGCCGAGCCCGGGCGGGGGCTCCGCCGCATCCTGACCCCGGGGCGCCCTCTCTCGGACGCCAAAGTCGCCGCCGCAGCCGCCAAGGCCCTCGGCTCTCCCTCAGCGGATGAGCGCCGCCGGGACCCCACGGACCCTGCGTGCAGCCGGCGGGGCCCCGGTCCGGATTCAACCCTCTCCCCTGTGGCTGAGCCCGGCTGCTGACGTCATAAAGGAGCCTTTGGTCTCTACGGAACGCCCTGAGGGTGCGTCACAGAGCTAGTGGTGACGTCCCTGGGAGCCATGGCAGTCTCTCATTCTTTCCCATGTTAAAGCAAGCGATGACATCACACCGCTTCCCAGAAGGCCCCGTCTACGCGCTCGGCGTACAAGAAGATCTATCCCCCTTCCTGCTTAGCTTTTCTCCTCAGCTCATATCACCAACGTGCTGTATATTTGACTTACATATTTCTTCTTTACCTGTCACACCCGCCAGAACTTTATGAAGGCAGGGATTTTTGTCTTGTTCACTAGAGTATCCTCCAGGTCTAATGAATGAATGTTAAGAAGGGGCAGGGGGTCGGTCACCTGGGGCAGTTCTAAATAGTTTCTTTTCCTCGCAAACCCTTCAGGACCCTCCTCTTGTCCTAGTCCTCAGGCCAGAGAATTCAGACCTTGGGATCTGTGGTTCCCTGCCCAAGACCCATATTCACCAAGGGTCTGTGGGGTGAGAATTCAGTACCCATCAACAACCATACCCACACTCCCACCAACCATCTGAGGTACTGAAAATGGAATGAGGAATTGCAGAGGGTCACAGCCAAGTCTGGGAACCTCTGGTCTCCCAGACTCCTTCTGTGTAACAGAACAGAAATTCAGGTTCCCAGGCACATTTTGAGATTCTACTTCAGCATTTCCTGAGTGGGTGCAGGAATGTGCATTTTTAACAACCAGGTGTGTGATCCTGATTAAGGACCACACTTTGAAAGGCAATGCAGTGGGCTTTTGGGTGGCTCAGTGGTTGAGCGTCTGCCTTTGGCTTAGGGGGTGATCCCAGGGTCCTGGGATCAAGTCCTGCATCTAGCTTCCTGCAGGGAGCCTGCTTCTCCCTCTGCCTATGTTTCTCATGAATACATAAATAAATCTTAAAAAACAAAAAAGAATATTAGGTAGAACTGACAGTTTTCAGAGGGGTTAAGGGGAAGCGAGAACTTGCCAGGCTGTGTTCCTGCCCAGAAGGGGAAGTGCCCGCATTAGTTTCTGGAGGGGTGGCATCAATACTCTTGCTTGACTAGATGCCACAGAATTCAGAGGTGAAGGGAAGGAAAGACTAAGACACTGCAAGCTAAGAATTCTGGTCCCCCACTCTGCCTTTTTTTTTTAAGATTTTATTTATTTATATGAGATAGTATGAGTGGGATGGGGAGGAGCAGAGGGAGAAGCAGACTCCCCACTGAGCTGATGTAGGGCCCAATCCCAGGACCCCAGGATCATGACCTGAGCTGAAGGCAGAGACTCAACCGCCTGAGAGATCCAGGCGTTCCCTGCCCTTCTTTGGATCTCATTGCCCCTATCTGTCAACTGGAAGGTGAAGCCCTCCCCCAGCATCTGGGGCCTTGAGGTCTAACCTAGACCTTACTTAAAAATAGAACAACCCATGGGCAGGCCTGGTGGCCCAACAGTTTAGCTCTGCCTTCAGCCCAGGGCGTGATCCTGGAGACCTGGGACCAAGTCCCACGTCGGGCTCCCTGCATGGAGCCTGCTTCTCCCTCTGCCTGTGTCTCTGCCTCTCTCTCTCTCTTTCTCTCTCTCTCTCTCTCTCTGCCTCTCATGAATAAATAGATAAAATATTGAAAAAAAAAAAAAAACCACAACCCGAGTTGCCTGGGTGGCTCAGCGGTTGAGCATTTGCCTTCAGCTCAGGGTGTGATCCTGGTCTGAGGATCGAGTCCCACATTGGGCTCCCTGCATGGAACCTGCTTCTCGTCTCTACCTCTCTGTCTCTGTCTCTCATTAATAAATAAATAAAATCTTAAAAAAAAAAGAACAACCCATGCCTGATTATCTGATGTTTTGTAGACCTCAAAGCTTGTTTGAACAGCTAACAGGAAACAGGTAGAACAGGGCTTTCCAACCCCTCTGTTGAATCAGAGAAGCTGAAGCACAAGGAGAGACTATGTCTGGCTCGAGGCCACACAGCAAGACCCAGATCCTCTGAAGGTCTAATCCTATCTCTGCTGCTGCCTGATACATTCCTTGTACACAGGCCAAAATGACACATCATAGGTTCTGGAACACACCCTGCATTCCTTCTCACTGCCTTGATGTCTTCTCTGTTTAACTCCTGTCCTCAAAACCCATTTTATTTAATTAATTTATTTTTTTAAGTAAACTCCATACCCAATGTGAGCCTTGAACTCATGACCCTGAGAGATCAAGAGTCACATGCTCTACTGATGGAGCCAGGCAGGCATCCCCTCAAATCCCATTTTAAACACTCCCTCCTCGGGGGAAGTACCTCTGGCCTCCCTCCTCTTGAGTTCCTGAGTCCTGACCCTTTCCTGCTCTGATGGGAATTGCAGTCTTTCTACACTTTGGTGTTGGAGTCCATGAAGCTACTGGAAGACAGAGAACATGTCTGATTTACCTCTGTGGCTGCATCTCATCCCCTACATGGTGGCATAGCACAAGTCTTACATATAAGAAGTGTCATTAAACAGAGTGATTAAATGGATGGCCAGGATATGCACTCAACACATAGTTACAATCACACAGGGGTTTAAACTATGGTGTACATTCCTTCATTCAGTAAAAGTACTGCACATCTGTTTAAGGGTTACTAACCTAAGCGAGGAGCTCTATGTCCAGAAAAAATGCACAATTGCTCAGTATTTTATAGACGATCTCAAGAATTTTCAGACTTCCTGGAGCTTATCTATGGTCCCACTAGTAGGACCCCATGTCCCCAGGTTAAGGCCCTCTGGCTCCTGGTTAAGTAAGAAGTGTTCTGAAGGGCAGCCAAGTGGCTCAGCGGTTTAGCGCCACCTTCAGCCCAGGGCCTAATCCTGGAGACAGGGGATTGAGTCCCACATCGGGTTTCCTACATGGAGCCTGCTACCCCCTCTGCTTCTCTCTCTCTCTCTCTCTCTCTCTCTCTCTCTCTGTCTCATGAATAAATAAATAAAATCTTAAAAAAAGTGTTCTGAACACTTGCTACATTCCAGTTAGGGACATACATTCAACCACTCATTAATTCAAATGTGTTGAGTATCTACAGCATTAATGCCAGGGACTAGGGTATTCATTTATTAATCCATCAATTTATTTAGTCATATTTTGGAGGGTCTACCATGTGCCAGACCCTCAGCTGGGCATCGAGGACAGAGAGATGAATAAGGAGCACCATGAGACTTGTACCTCGAGGCCTCACTGGCTAATGGGGACAGACTAGGGTTCTGACTCTCCCCTTGACTCCACTCCACCTTAACCCAGCTCCCACTTCACAAGGATGCATGCAAGATGGAGGCTAAAGCTGGTGCAGGCAGGGAGGATTGAGCTGACCACAGGGACCTTACCCCTCTTTCTCAGTCCTTTGGCTACCTCCACCCATGACCCCCAGGCTGGCCTGTGTTTGACTAAAGGGCAGGAATTGCTCAACCTGTTGGGTGAGTCCAGTTGAGTCAGAGGTGATTCCCGTGAGCGGGCAGGTGGGCAGTCTTAGAATCAGGAGTCAGTTCTGGAATTTTGGATTAGTCCTGGCAATAGTGGGATCAGCCTGAAGGTCAGAGGTCTGTCCTAGGACCAGAAAAGTCAAGGGTGTCCAGGATGGGTGATAGGTCCCTTGAAAGCCTTTCCTGGGATCCCTGGGTGGCGCAGCGGTTTAGCGCCTGCCTTTGGCCCAGGTGCGATCCTGGAGACCTGGGATCGAATCCCACGTCGGGCTCCCGGTGCATGGAGCCTGCTTCTCCCTCTGCCTGTGTCTCTGCCTCTCTCTCTCTCTCTCTCTCTCTGTGACTATCATAAATAAATAAGTAAATAAGTAAGTAAGTAAATAAATAAATAAATAAATAAATAAATAAATAAATAAAAAAGAAAGCCTTTCCTGTCAGGCCCAGGGAAGCCCGGCTGGAGCGGCGGGCAGTAGCATTGGGCCACAGGCTAGCTCGAGGCCTAGCTCAGCAGGATGACGAAGACGAGCTGGAGCTGGAGCTGGAGGATGAGCCTGATGTGGAGCTCTCCGGTGTCGTATTCAGCCACCTCAAGAGGTAATTTGTACCCACTGTACGCCTGCTCCCACACCCACCAGAGTGTCAGCCTCACACTCTTATACATGTAGGCCCATGCTCATCCACACTCAAAAGCACACAATCCTAAAGTATGGGTGAGGAGTGGCTATCCTGGGGTGAAGGGTCACTTACTCCTAGACATACACACTGCCACAGTCACACACACACAGTTACACTGGTCCACCTAGAGCTTCTGGAGCCCCCTTAGGGGATGAAAGCTTGATGAGGGTAAGGAATTTTGTCCCTTTCATTCCCTGCGGTGTCCCAGAACCTAAAATAGGTCTGGCACATAGTAGGAGTTCAACAGATCTCTGTTGAATAAATGAATGGTTTCAGGACTCCAAGAATGAGTCAGATTCGGGCGGTATAGTTGAGATGGATGCAAGACAGACTGAAAGAACTCAGAATCTAGAAGTTCACAGAGAGAGGAGATCTAATCCCTAGCACCCAGCAAGAGTGTGTAGGTGGTCGGGGAGAGGAAGTGAAGTAGGAGCTGACCATGTCTTTCCCAGCAGCCGTGCTGGGGGCCTGGCTCAAGGGGATACATTCCAGATGTCCAGAGCTCAGGACTTCCAGGTACCGCTCTCCCTTTAGGCCCTAACCCTTGATGAATACCACCTACTCTCCACACGTGGGTTTCCCCCCAACTTTGGCAGAGAAGGCTTCCTTTTTTTCTTGCTTCTGTGCCCTTAGGTGGGGGTAACAGTGCTGGAGGCCCAGAAGCTGGTAGGAGTCAATATTAACCTGTACGTGGCAGTGCGCATCGGGGAACAGCGTCGAGTGACCGCCACGCAGCGTGGGACTAATT